CAAGGAAACAAACTGGGAAATGCAAAAGAGTGGGTAAATAAAGATCTAAGACCATAAAGTCTCCGTTCGTATATCTACTGAAATACTGTGGGGAGCAGCGTGAGATGGGGAACTGTGTAAGAGTAATTTCTGCTCAGACTGATTCCCTTAGGAAAGCTGTTGCTGGAGCACGTTGCCCCGTGCCGGTGCCGCCGCTGCGGCCAGCGGGCCGAGGCTCTGCCTGGGGCCCAGGGCAGCGGAGGGGCCGGTCCCGCGGGTGCCGTCCCTCGAGCCGCCTCCGTGGTCCGGGCCGCTTTGTGCGCCACCAAGATGCTCGTTCTCATAGGCACTTACAAGCATGTACCCTATACTGTCCCCCAGGGGTGTTTTGGTGGCTTAGCTGAATTCCGTGCATGCTTTCCTTTTAGTAGAACTCAAAAACGTAAAAAGTTTGAAATATCTAATTCTCTTTTGTAGGTACAGCCTCTTAGTTGGGTTGCGTACTGTGCAGCTGATCCCTTGGCAATGGGAAACTGTATCATAGAGCATACAATTAAAGTGGAAATATATCTTCCCTGTAGTTTGGTTTAATAGAGGCTTTGGTTTATCTGATTTATCGGGATTGTTTGTTTGTTTTGGTGGAAATTGGAGCTAACAATTCTTGCAAATAAAGTTGTTTCGAAACCCCAAAACCTCATTAGAAAAAAATAAAAGGAGGCGGAGAAGCCTTATGCTAGAAAATTTTGGTCCAGTGTTGTTTAAGAGCGAGAGATTTTCCTGCTTCCCCACTGTGGGTTGATGCTGAGTTTACAGTCTGACTAATAGAGAAAAGAAAAAGGAGATTTGCACGGGTCGTTCGCACGGTGTAGGAGGCGAGCGGAGTGCGTAGGAATGACCTTGGGCTGTTAAGCTACCACAGCAAGTTTCTGGGTAATAAATTTCTGTGGCAGGCTGTGGGAGCGAGCGCGTAGCCTGATGCTACTAATCATTGCTTGAGAACCACAAGGAGAAGGGAGGCTGGGAATGGGGAGGGGAAGGAAAGAGGGGAAAAATGTAAAAACACTTACGTTTACATTAAAAATGTAAAGGCTGGCGGGTGGCATTGAATTAAAGCCATCCAGGGGGTGCTTGGTGTTTGTGCAGTAATTGAATGAGCTTGGTGAGCCTCAGAGGTGAGGGCCTTCAGGAAAAAATTCTCTCACGTGAAGCCTGCAGCATCAAACTGCGTGTAGAAATATTTTTATGTGCTTATTTGGAATGAATTTGAGATTGAAAATACGTAATTGAAGAGCGCTCTGCACGTGGTGTGCCTCTATAGTGGGATTCCTGATGTATGATTCATTTGTTCAAATTCCTTGGGAAAAGAAAGGATGAAAGAGCACTCAGAATGAAATGGGGTGACCTTGATGAAGTTGTTTTTCCCAAGGGAAGGTGGCTTTTTCTTTAAGAGGGACTTACTGACATCATCGCTACATCTTTATTTTAAGCAGTAGCTTTAACAGTATAGGATAACAGGGAAAATCCTGGGGTGGTTATTCTGTTTCTCAGCTGGATTCCTAGCTAAGCAAACTCAAACCAGTGAAGTTTATCACAAACTTCCGTCGTTTTCTGTGACTGTGGCCTGCCCCAGAATCAGTGATTCCGTAAAGTTATGCAAGTTATGTTTTGTGTTTAATTTTCCTGTGCTTTGGGAAGCAGAAGGGCTTTTATTTAAAACAGGAACCTCATAGAAAGCTACGTGCTCACAAAGATGTGGATTTGCAGATGCTTGTCACAGGGCACTTCTTGGTAGGTGACGTGGGGAAGCTTGCCCAGGTGCTTGTTCCCTCACTTCGGTATCTCCATAACTGCCCCAGAAATGTGATCATTTTTGGCTTTTGTGAGGAAACCCATTTCCATCCAGCGACGCGCTGCTTTATTCACATATTGCAGCGTGTTTTAGAGGTGCAGGGTGAGAGCGGCCGTGTCGGTGCCCAGCGGCGAGCGTTGCTGTAACTGCTGCTGTGGCAGCAGGAGCGGTGCCTGCCCCGTCAGGAACGCGCAGGGCGGCCCTGGGAGCCAGGACACGGCTGGAGCTGCCCTGGGCACAGGGTTGGGTGTTAGGGGTAATGTTTGAAAAGCTGTGACCTAACATTACGTTCAGGGTAAAACTTGTCCAGGCACTAATGCCCGTTCCTCAGCGTGCAGCACAATGTCATTCAAAAGCTTCTGGTAATTAATTTAGCTAAAGATGACTGAAAATGTAGAAGATTTGTTTCTGACTGTTGTCAGGTTTTATGCTAGTTGAGACCAGTGGGGGACCTGCTTGAAAAGATTTCAAAAACGTTTCAAAAGTTGGCCAGATCTTGATCCTCCCTGAGTGAATGAGGATGTGTGTGGTGCTCTAGGGCTTGCTTGAAGCCAGGAGAGCATCCCGGGTTCCCCATCCTTTCAGGAGATACCCTCATGGGGCACCAAAGCAAAGGTCTGTGTGATAGCTCTGGCAGGAAGCAAACATGTCCCATGTCTCCTTCCTTCCTTTTCCATCTGGACAGACAGCTGTCCTTAGCCACATGGTTCCCCAGCTCCTACCAGGACACCAGTTCCTCTGCAAGAGCCACTGCTTCTAGATTCCCTTCCTCTGTCCAGGTGGCTCTCCAAGGGCATTGGTTTGCTGACTCACCTGGGCTTCCCATGCTGCGGGTGACTGACTCGCTCCCATCAAATGTAGCATGCTTCAGAATGTAGCAGACTCTTCATACTTGCAGCTAGCAGAAGGAGCCATTAAATGTGCATGCAACAAACCTGATTGCTCGTGTCCTGTCCAGGCTGCTTCCTGCTCTGTACTGTGTCAAGTTTTTGAGGTTCCTGTGTCTGTGATGTTCCATTTAATTGGTTCAAATTGCTGCTTTCTCAGCTGCTTGGCACTTCATTCGTGTTTTAGATGCCCGTGTGTGAGGGGAGCACCACCGTGAGTTGTAGTGTATCAGAAATGGTGCTGTCTGGTATAGTTCAGTCTGCCTTTCTGTGGCAGGTAGCAACAGTGCAGGAGTGAAGGAAAAAAAAAAAAAGCAAAGATGACACATGATTAATATCCTTGTACTGGACAGCCCCAGCTGGCAGGAATATGTTGGTAGAAAAAGTGTGAGTAAATATAAGGGAGGTTTGGACCTCTCAGTGTTTAACTGCGACCCCCTTTCTCTGATCGCATTTCTCAAAAGCTGTTTCTTAGGCCTGGCATAGACCTTTCCAAATGCTGAAGTCCCCGATGTGTTTTGGACACTTGAAAGGTCACTGGACAATGGTAAGATCTGGGTACCTGCACATCTCTGTAGTCAAGGTTGAAACTGTATTTTTCAGAGTACCCTAACAGTGAATACCTAAGCAGAAGGGCGGTGATGGGTCTGTGTCTCGCTCCCCAAGCGGTGGCTGCATTTCCAAGTCCTCTTGGTGGCTGTGGCCAGAGGAAGCAGCCCTGCCTGTGCCTGGCTGTTTGGTAGCACAAACATTTGTGTGGTAGGAGACGGAGAGGAGCGCAGGGAGGTGGGTTAGACGCAGTTCCTTCTGCACAAGCTTCGGTCTGTTCCTCCAGCCGGCTCCCTTTCTGTGGCTTTCAGAAAGCCTGTGCTGGCTCGGGAGCCAGGGTGGGTTGGTTGCTCCCCGGTCAGATCTTGTTTATGCCAGTTTCCTGTCAGCTTTGAGTATTTTAAAGAAACTTAAAAAGTAACTTGAACAGGGAAGAGAAAATCACATAGTCATGCCATCAGTTGAGTGAAAGAAGACGACTGTTTAATGATGATGTGAAATCTTCCAGCGAGGAAATTCCACTGATCCAGATACTCACAGATGTGTTTCACTGGTGCCATCCCAAATCGTGGGTTCCACCCAAATTCCAACAGAGCCTTTTCATCTACCGTGGTAATGCCTGGATCGGGGCCTAGCCGTGGACAAATCGAATGGGACAGGGGCTTCAGAGTTCAAAGCTGCAGAAAACGTGTCTGTAGCCAAGGCTGGCAGCAGAGCGCCTTCTCCGAGCTCTACGAAATGGGCACGTTGTCGTGGAGAGAACTTTTCCAGGCAGCAGCTGCTCTGCTGGGCAGGAGACTTGGCTGCAGCTCCTCCCGCAGTGGTTAGCGAAGCCCTTGCTCCGCTGAAGCAAGCCTGGGAAGCCTCTTTCCTACAGGCCTGGGAAGAGCCGCGGCCCGAGGTCGAGCAGACGTCGAGACCAGCTACGTGCCGAGGGGCTTTGCCTGGGGGGCTTGGAGGCCTGTGAAGGCGGAGGCGCTGCGGGCTTGCTGGCACCCCTGGCTCTTCACTCGGCCTTGCCCTTGGGCCGCTTGCGTGAGCGGTCAGACTGCGAAGGGCAGCTCCCAGACGTGCCCGTGCCTGTCGAAAGCGTTATGAACATCATCATCTCCAGTCCTGTGATGTGCTGATCCCTTCCCTGAGAGAAAGGCAAGAGGGGAAGGTGCTGTGGGCAGCACGTAGCGTCCCTGCACGGTCTGCGATAGCGGGCTGGGCATGCAGAGAGCACTGCAGCTTGAGCCCGGCCAGCCAGGGGCCAAATGAGGCGGCCAGCGAGCTGGGCCGTGTTTGCTCTCCATGCTTCAAAAATTCCAGAGCTCTTGGAAGCAGGAGGATCTATGTGTGGTGAAAATAAGCATGTTTCTCTCTCCTGAAAGCTTGTTTTGTTCTTCATAAAAGTCTGTTTTTCTATTTGCATGCAAATATTATAAAGTGTGAATGCTAATTTTACATGTATTTTGATAATTACATTTTTGATATTTAAATTGCAGTGTTTAAATAACTGCTTTTTCTCAATATCACTGTGGATTTTTTTTTCTCCCTCCTTCCATTTCATCTCCCTATTTCCCTTCCCCTCCCCATCCCCTCCTTGCTCTACCAATGTGTGGCTACGTGGGTTATGTTCAGCATTTCAGCTTCGCTGCAGCCCTTTCTTTACCATGTGTTGGCAACGCGCTAACGATTTGTGGGTATGTATATCCTGTGTTCATTCACGTGTTTGTTGTTGTCTATTCCAGAGATGGTGATGTTGCTGGAATGGTGGTCAGGCACCGATTGCACCCTCTACACTGACCCAGAGAGTTACCACAAGTACGGGAAAGAGAATGCCATCGTAATCCTTAATCACAACTTTGAAATCGACTTTCTCTGTGGTTGGAACTTTTGTGAAAGATTTGGGGTCTTGGGGGTGAGTTCTGATTAGCATTTAAAACAAATTTCCTCTTCAATGATGCAGGAAAAAAACCCAAAATTCTTTGGTTTTGTAAGTTAACCAGTCTTTGTTCAGATTTCATTCAGCTGCTGTTTAGATTCTGAGAGATGAAATTAAAGCAATGCAATGGAAGTATTTAAAATGCTGAGACAGGATTGCTTTGGGCATTCACAGAAATTTTTAAAGCATTGCAATTAAAATTGATAAAGAAGGTATTTTTAACACGCAGAGCTGGTTACACCTGTTCCTTTCTGTATGCTTGCTAGGTCCTTCTCACATTCCCTGTGCTGCAGAAGGATGAGCTGTTAGGTGATTCCTTCCCCACAAACAGCAGGCTGGGTCTGCCCGCTCGCGGCTCGTCCTGCACGTCCTCCAGTGCGTCTGGGACAGCTGGAGCAGGAACGATGCAGCCTCTGCTGCCTCTTGGGTGGCTCAGGGGAAAGCAGTAGCCAGGCTATCCCAGAAGGGTGGGTGTAGCGATAGTGAGCCTACCTGCAGTTGAATATATCACTATGTTAGGCTAGGAGTACCTGTGTGTGTGTTTTCAGGGTTTCTTTTGTTTCCCCTGTCAGCTCGTGGGGATGATTCAAGCTCCCCTCCTAAACCAGCTTGACTTAATTCTGTGGTGGTGACGACATTCTCTGCCTCCAAGGTATTTGGAAAACAGTTTCTCCCTCCTATGAGCACAGACTAATAACTCATTTCAGTTATCTTCTGTAGCATCCTCTTCTAAGTTTTCTGCTGGCCGCCTGTCAAAGCCATGGTGTTGGATTGTATCAAGCTGTGACTAGTTTTGGCCCTTCATTTGGGCCCTTTGAATTTCCTGGGTATTGAGGCATGACTTCAATCCCTTTTATATTACAATACATTTACAAAATGCAAGCGTTGGAGGCCCAGCATATTGCTGAAATGGCTGTCGGCTCCTAGTTACCCTGCAGCAATTTGCCTATAATGTCTGGGGCTTGAGCACTGAGTTGGGGATATCGTCAAAGCCAGCAGTGCAGGCAGGGAAACTTGTTCATGGTGAGGAAAACGTTGGTACCAAGAGCTCTCCCTTGTCTCCATGTTTATTGTACAGCGGTGCTTCAGCTTTTCTAACTCCTTAAGCCTAGTGGCCACAGTTCTTAGATAAAGCTGTGTTTTAGAGGATCACAAACCATCAAGTTCAGAAAGCAAAAATGTTTTAAAAAAAAATCTTATACAAGCCAATAAGGGCCTGCAAGGTCAAAAATCTCGTTTTACATTGATGCTTTGTGTTTGAATTGAGTCTATTAGCTTTAGTGATTTTTTTTTTTTAATAGTTTCCCAAGATAACCAAATTCATGTTTTTATTTTTTTTCATTCTCTCTGCTGATAAGAAAACCACTGCCTGGAAGCATAAGTGTTGGACAGTTTTATACTCTATTGTACTAAGTAGAAATATTTTTTTCCTTTTTTTGGATCCTTACACTTATTACTCAATTTGTGTTTTTGCTAATCTTTTTATGCATAAAAACTATTTCAGTCTTCTGAGTGATGCACTGTGGTCTTGCTTCCCGTAACAACAATACGTAAGATGTGCAGAACCCCCTCAGCTATCATTTTTTATGAGAATCGAAGGTGCTCAGAAGGAGGCTCATCTCTAGACCCGAGTTTTACAAAGCTTTAAGCTGGTGCTGCTCATGGAAGATGTGGTTCTGCCCTTACCATGTCTTTACACGTGCTCTCATTAGCCTGTATGTTTTACTCTAGGGCATTTTTGTATTTTGAGGGCTCAGGGTCATCTTAACCGTGCTCAAACCAAGGCAGGAAACCACAGGACAAGCCCCACCTCCACAAATATTATGCTAGAATGGGTTCCTGAAGCTGTCACACTGAGGGCTGGTCCTCCCCTGTCGTGATCACAGGCTGAGAGCAGATGTTTGGGGAAGGAGTGACCAAGACCAAGGGGCACATGCAGACACCCTTTCGCTAGGGGCATTCCCAGCCTCCTGCAGTTTGTGACTCAGGTGGGTTCCTGACTGTATGGGTTTCTGGGCTTTCTTCTCCATGAAGTTTGCATGGAAACTTAGCATCTACAACGTCTTGGTAAGCTGATCTCATGTCTTCTGCTGCCGAGAAGGGCAGTCTGGGACACCCCATCCCACATGTCTGTTCTTGTGCTCGTCTCCCTTGTGGCGCCCTGGTTCAGGCGGCTCCTAGCTCCCTCCTGCCCTGGCTGATCCAAGGGAAACAAGGGCTGCCTGGGACAGGGAGGCAGGAGGCAAATCGTGGCCAGAGGAAGGAGACTGGCATGTTTGGCTGCAGCAAACAGGCTACTAATGATGCCTCAAGTATATAGCCAAATTCTCCCTGTTTTACACCTTGAACTTAAGCAAAATCAACACATTCTGTAACTTTTTTGCTTGGTTTTGTCCGTTTAAAAACAAAACTAAACTTCCTGAAATCATACTGCCTGTCTCGTCCCCAAAACAGGAGTCCTTCCTTTTTTCTCTTCTTTCTTCATGAGGATATGCAAACCATTCCTCCTGGCTTTAGTTGGAACAGATATTTAATCTGCTCATGGTTGTGCTCCTTCATCTCTTTAGTCTCGTGTGTGTTATTGGTAGGTTTGTGAAATTGCATCCTCTCCTAATGACCCAGTTCCTGTATTTAACCGACATGAGGGGCACTTTACTTTCATGACTGTTTTTTAAACAATGTAGAGGAAAATCTGGCAAAAGGAACCTTTGAGTTGCTAAGAACACAGGAAGCAGGGGAGCAATAAAAAGAAACTATATCAGCTGTAACATTTAATCTTAATTTCTAAGTGTGTGTGTGTGTTTTTTTTTTTCTTTTAGAAATAGGATACTTTTGGAACATGCATTCATAGTCTTAAGAGGTACCGGGTTGGCAGAGCTGAGGGAGAGATGGGAACCTATTCACTTATGGTGACAAAGGAGAAAGCAGCCCCATGAAGAAGCAACTCTGCGCCTGCTTTCAGGCTTGCAGGGTACTCCAGTTGCTCAGGCTGCCTCACTGGTTGGGCTCTTGTGCAGCTGACACCGCTAATGTATAAGTGTTTGCAGCACCAAATCACAGGAGATTTTTTGCTCAGACCCAGTTTACAAATGACTTGCAACTATATTCCACTTCTCTTTTCTGTGAAGGGCTCTCTTCATTTTGTTGCTTTGCTGTTTTGACAACCATTGGAGGTCACATTTACCTGCCTCCTCATCCTCTGTATATTCTGAGGAGGTAGCTAATACTAAGGATTATTACTAAGGATTGCACCAAAAACACATCAGTGTGCTCCCTGCCAGGATTCACCATGTTAGCTGCAGCCTCCTTTGCTGCTTCATATATCCAAGCAGTGATAAAAGAGTGTTTTTTAGTAACCATTTTTTCCCAAGGTGATTTTTTTTTGAAGTAAAGATCATTCTTATTAATCTAAAACTAAATCTTGTAGTTCACCTGTTTGTCTTCTGGTATCTTGAGTTTCATGTTATTGCTGATGGTCAGTCTGCGCTGGCAAAACACAAACATTGCTCCAGTGTTGCTCCTTGTTAAGCTGACATCAAAATAGGTGCTGTTCAAAAAGGAATCACAGTTGCTAGCATGACTTTAATCCTTGGCAGGGGGACAATGCAGAAAACCACTATGGAAAGAACTATAATTGCAAACTACCTTTTCAAAAACTTTCTCACCAGAATTATTTTTTTCACCCTAATTAAACTGTTATGCCAGGGAGATTTGATTTTAACTACAAACTGACTACAAACTGTTTTTGTTGAAGTGTGCTGAGCATGGTCTTAAACATGGATGTGAGAAGAGATTTTTTTTTTTTTTCCCCAGATCACTGTGGATTAATTCTGGGATTGATAGGTTTGTGAATTTCAGTTACTTTTCAACACTATTTCCTATATGCGTTTTAGTTAATGTATTATTAAAAAGTATTCTGATCGTTCAGGCAGGCAATTGCATCTTTATTATTTAGAATTAACATGGCATTAGGGGATATATTTGGACACATATCCTATAAAATATTGCTGTGTTACCTTTCCAACATGGAAAAGTTTTTCAGTGTGAAGCATCACGAGTCTTGCTTCCTTTCTGGTAGGATGGCTGAGGAACTGAAGAAAGATCTTCTTCCCTCATCATGTCCTTCAGATTTTAATATGGAAGAGTGCTCTATTTCAAAATAGAGCAAACAGTCATTAAAAGTACATCAATGCTGCAAAGCACATCATGTAAAACAAACAACTCACCAGGCAAATACCAGGTGCTGATGGTTCACAGCTGCAATGAACCTGTTTTGAAGCTGTAGAACAAACTTAGTTTGACTCCCTCAGCCTGAGGGTTGCTTTCAGCTGCTCTTTTCATTTGGTGATGAAGTGCTGGATAGCTGCAGCTGGCCATACAAATCAGGATTTTCCTTCTGTTACACCACAGCTGTGCAAGTACACATAAGGTAAACTTTTAAAAATCAAGTTTTATGTGATTTTATTGCAGTCATTAACAAAAGAAGTTTGTGGGTTTTTCCTCTGAACACAACTGGTCAAAAGAAACTAAATTCAGACCTTTTTTTTTTTTTTTTTTGATTGAATTTATTCCACTGAGCAAGCGGGACTGAAAGGTTGCAGGTGACCGTTGCATCTTTACAAAGGCACTTTAATAAAGAAAATAGAGCGGCAAAAGTAAAGCGCGGCTGCCTTCGTCCCCTTGCATCCTTACACAGGAGCTGTGCACGTGTGAACGACCAAAAGAGCAGGTTGTGGCTCTTGTTACTGTGGGAGGGGAGGCAGTGTGAGGGACAGGCCTCGTGTTTCTCCCTCACGAGAGCGATTGCACCAGCCTAGTGCAGGAGGAGTCTCTGCCCCCTCATGAGCTGGGTGTCATGAGCCTGACTTCTACTTGTAGCCGTGGTGCAGAGCACGAAGGAGCGCGGGAGGATTTAGCTGTTGCTCTTGCGCATCCAATGCGCTCAAGTGTCTAGCAAAGCACTTCAGAATCTTAAAAAGTGAACAGGAATGTGCGCTGGGGAAGGCTCCAAGCATCCGTGCTGCTTTTGTGGATGCAGCCACACCGTGTGACACCCTGACACCCCAACAGCAGGTCTACCTGTGCTTCAGTGCAAAAACCAACAGCAGTAACTTTCCTGCACCTTGTTTAATTTACTTCCACTTGCTTTTTGGGCTAGAATTCCCACATTTTAAAGTTTGGGAGGGAGACCCGCTGGGCGATCTTCGAGATGGTGTTCCAGAGGCCTCGTACATCGTCTGCAGAGCACGCTGATACTTGCTTATGTTCTTATGACATGGAGCGCTTACCGTACATCAGCTGTAAGAGAGTGTCTCTTCCCTCTCTTTTGCTTGTTTGCCTCATTTCTCAGTGCCATGGGTTGGGATGCCAGCTGCAGCTGCGGGCTGATGCCTTGCTCCATTGTCACTGAAGTGGCCAGTGGTCCCTTGAGGCTGAGCGTCACCAGAGGTTCTGGCCTTATCTGTCTCTCTTGGCACTGCTGCTGCCCTCCAAGTGCTTGAGGAGGAGAGCAGCCTTGCAAGGCGTTAAATCATTTGGCAGAATTAATTCCTGGAGTCTTGGAAAGAGAGTTGTGTCCTGTCTTTTTCCTGCTCTGCTTCTGGATAGGTTCGTAGTGAAGCTGTGTCGTGTGTGCTTAGCTTCCAAGGCTCGTGAGCTTTTAGATCACTTAATTATTTAAGGTATTTTTCTCCTTAAGGAAGGAGAGAAGATGAGAGAAGTGAGCTGAGATAAAAAAATTAGGTCAAGTCCCTTTTCCCTAGTAATCAAATGAACAAAAATGTCCCCAAAAAAAGCAAATGGATTTGTTTTGATGATAATTGCTTAACTAATTGTTGCCGCTGAAACGTTGTGGCCAGAGGCCATCTGAGGAGCCCTGGGATGAAATGGCTTATGATCACATAATGCAGACTGGGCTGTCAGGGCACCCCTCTCTCTTCTAGAAAACGTCTGTCTTTTTCAGCAACTGCTGAAACAACATTTTTTGCACACATACATGCCATTTCTAGTCATTAAATAACAAAGTGAGTCATTCCATAACCAAGTGAAGTGTGAGAGCGTAGGGAGGTGGGCTGCTCTGGAAGGCAGGAAGAGAGCTAGTAGAACCAGCCCTGCCCAGCGGGGCGTCCTTCGGAAATGAGCGGGGAATTAAGCTCTGGATGAGGATTTGAAACTTGGTGAGTGCTCCATCTGCTGTAGGCTCCTTGGGGAGGGTCTGGACAGATCCCTTTGGTGTCTGTCTTGCACCGGTAAGCCAGGACCTGGCTTCTTGACTCTTGAGGGTCATGAGGGAGATTCACGGCCTAGGTGTGCTCCAGCCCTCCGCACACGGGGGTGCGGGTGCGGGGTGCGTGTTGCTCCCTGTGCTGCTGAGGCGCGCGCAGCGGCGCGCCGTGAGGCGCCTTCCTGCCCGGAGCAGCCTTCTGCGCGCGGCCAGCGGCTCCGGCCTTGGGGAGCAGCACAGCTGCAAGGGATCCCGGGGAAACGGGGCTTCCTGCTTCCCCAGGGGCTGCTCGAATGGAAAGCTTCGTTTTACGTAATTGCTTGTTAGGTCTTTTGCTTGTATTCCTCAGGGTTTGAAGGAGCTAGACACGTGTGTTTTGTTTCAGGGCTTGGGTGTTTAAAAAAAACATTAATACTGGAAGTCATCTTTCATGCAGATATTCTGGGATCAGATTCTACCATTCTATCATGACTAGAAAACATATTTTTATTTTGCTTTTGCGCTGGTGTTAAAACCGGGACTGCTCAGCAAGAATCAACTGTGCATGTGTCGTGTTCACACAGAACTGGCTGCATGGTCTGGTTTATTTTCTCTGCTCTGCCTTGCAGAGTTCGAAAGTGCTTGCAAAGAAGGAGCTCTCCTACATGCCCGTCATTGGCTGGATGTGGTATTTCCTGGAGATAGTATTCTGCAAGCGTAAATGGGAGGAAGATCGGAAAACAGTCATACAGAAGTTGCTGAATCTCCGGGACTACCCTGAAAACTTTTGGGTGAGTGACAAGTAGTGAGTGGAGTAGCCAGTGCTGCAGCGACCAGAGTCCTAGTTCCCCTGAGCCCATGATGGTGAGAGACACATTCAATTAGGGAAACGGTGTCTTAAGCAGCCTCACAGCGGCCTACAAAAATTGATCTCTTTCAAGGTGGTTTCCTAGTGAAGATGTATGTGCCTCGTTCTCTGAAACGAAACTTCTCTTCTGATTGCTCCTGCTTTCAGTCAGCCCGAGGCAATCACAGCTGAGCTACGTGTTTGGATCCTGTTGGCATGACTTCTGGCCGGGGGCTGTCTAGCAGAGGGAGCCTCTTTCGTTTCTAGCTGCCTTCTCCCGTATCGATTTGCCTCTGCCCTGTGGCTTTTCAAAGGGGCCTAATGCCTTTTTGCAAACCTGGACAGTTCGGCAGCAATTTGTGAGCAAGTCCACCACCCCCCCTTTATATATTGCCCTAGAGGGATTACTAAGGTGGTATTATACCTGCTAGTAATGGAGATTAAGTTGTTGGTGTTCAAATGGGGTTAATTCGGAGCGGAGTTTTAGCTTGTGATCTCATGGCAAAAGAGACAGCAAGTGCAGCTTGTATGCAAAAAGGCAGAGCATGGCGGGTGGGCTGCAAGGATTTTCTCAGCAGTTTATGTTTCGTCAAGGTATTCAGCAGTATGTGATACACTGGTAAAAGTGTTCCTAGGGGGGCTGGCTGCTTGGCTAGCTTTCTTCCATCTCTGTTTTCATGGGCTAAATTGTAGCTGTGGATTATCAGGACTTTGCTTGTGCTGTTCCACCACGCTCCCTGTTAGTTTACGTTTAGGCTTAGCAGAAAGCAGCCGAGCAAGTGGTAAATGGCCAAAGATGTGTATGTCCTGCCATGCCTGCCAGCGGCAACCTCGTAATTGCTGAGGTGTGAGCAGCTGCACTGTGCAGCTCCTCTGGGGAGGGAGCTGCTCCCTTGTCCTGCGTGGGTTACCAGCCCAGTCCCTGGCATCTGAGGGGCCTTGAGAGAGCGTTGGTTGTAGCGGGGCAGGAGGGCTGGAGGGGAGAGCACCGAAGCATTTGCTGGAAATGTTTGTTTTGGACGCTCACTGTATTTCAGTTACAGTGTCACCAGAGCTCCCTGCCATCGTTAAGAGATTTGGGGGTTGGCTGATTGGTTTGCTTCTAGCTCCAGGGAGAGGAGTTATTCAGATGCACATCGGGCTGTACCTGTCTTTGCTAGCAGTGTTCGTTTGTGCCGCGTTGGTGGGAGTTGGAGAAGGCTCTGTTCAAACAGATCTGCGCCTCGGTCTGCTTTCTAACCGTGGTCCTGTCCCGCCTGCAGTTCCTGATTCACTGCGAGGGCACGAGGTTCACAGAGCAGAAGCACCAGATCAGCATGCAGGTAGCCGACGCCAAGGGCCTGCCCAAGCTCAAGTACCACCTGCTGCCGCGGACGAAGGGATTCGCTGTCACCGTGCAGTGTTTGAGAAATGTAGGTAAGGAAAGTCACAAGGAATCAGCATCATATGGTCATTTCAGTTAACTGCTGTTGCTTTGCCCTGCTCTCTTTTTTCCCTGAGCAGAAAAGCACTGAAACTCTCTGATCTTTCTTCCACTAGTTTGCAGGAACTGAAAGATTGTGTTGGGCTAGCAAAACCCTGGGACATTTTTTTTTTTCTTTCCTCTTTGTTTTCTGCTTTTGTGAGTCTGTATTGGGGGTCGGAGCGTTCGTGCCCCCTCTTTCAGTTGGAGGATTGACACTCCCAAAGACTAGTATTTACTGTACTACAGAGAAATCCTATTCAAAGTTAAATAAATTCTGTTGTTTCAGAGAAACTAAGATTTCCTCAGGTAAATATTTATATCACGTAACGTCAAATTTTTGTCAAAATATGTTCTCCTTTAATATTTACTACAGAAATTCAAACACTTTAGACCTCTGTGGATTTGAGAGGAGGGGGACAGACCTCTTCTGAATGTATATGTAGGAGAGGTTTGTCAGTAAGGTTTTTCCTCATTGTAGAGCATAATGCTAATGTTAAGCAGAATTTACTTGTTTTCTCTTTTCTCTTTCCTCCCTCTGGTTACTTCAGTTGCATTTAGAATGTGATTGGTAAGAATATGGCATGCACATTTCCTCTTGCTTTTAAAGTGTTTTTCTTTATAACTAGTACAATTCAGTGAAGTCTTCCACTGTTTAGTTTTCTGGACATAGAAATGACAATGCTGAGTTGCTGTACTCAGTAGCTACAGTACTTTTTGGATTTGGAGGATTTGTATGCTATTAGAAGGCTGATATATTTAGGAAGATAAAAAAGGCAGTGTTCTAGCTCTGCTGAAGTTGTCATAACTCCTTTTGCCTTTGGTGAAGCTATGTTTTCATCTGGCAGATCTGGGATAGCTGCAGTACAAAAAAATTCTGCAGTCAGCTGTCTTGCTGTCCATCATGTCTCTTCAATTCTCCATGTCCTCTTGCAAGTCAGGTAGATGATATCAGTGTTGTAGCTTGTCAGGCACTGACAAATTGCCTCCCGCAGAATGCATAGCATAGCTTGGATCTCGTCTGTTGCACAGAGAGGGAAGTTGTGTGCAGTGTTGAGCAACTCTCCGAAGGGTACAATTTAACCTTCCCTTTTTGAAAAAGCAAGACTGTCCTGCTAAGGAGGAGGGGAGACCGGCCTACAGTGTCTTGCTTTTTTGCTTGTTACTCTGTGTAAAGCAAACAGAACATGGTGTGGCTTGTAATCATACGAGTAATGGATTTGTGGGGACACGCTTCAAATGGAAATTAACAATTTTGGGGATCCCAAGTTCATTCTTTGAAAAGTGTGCATTCATGAGTTTCACTACAGTAGAACCTTTTAATATCCTAAATATCTGAAGCACTTTTAGAAAAGTGAGACTTGGATTGCTAAATTGCTTATGTACTTAGGGAAGAGTGTATTACTACCTCAGTCAGCAAGCAGTGACTTGCTGGATCAGACAAGTTAAGGCTAATGAGAATTTAGGATTTCTGTGCTAGGTAGAGCTCAATGAGAAGCACAAAACAGCCTAGCTTTTCATAGATACTTGCTGTTAGTGTAAAAATCCAGCCAACATCCCCTAAGCAAAGGAGTCTTGTTTGATAGTTGATCAGAGACAGCTGTCATCTGCAAATTCCTGTGGATATGTTGCTGTACCTGCCATGTCACTTCCTGCAACGTGCAAGTTACTCTTGGGATCTCTCCCCTGGAGAGAAGGGGAAGAAATGAAGAGCATTTGAAAGGCTTTCAGAGAGACAAGAAAGCCTCTTTTTTTTTTTTTTTTCTTAATAGAGAATATGATGCAACTCTGTTTTGTCAGAACCCATAGTCTAAAAATGTAAGTTCTTCCTAGAAGTTACTCCCTTTTTATGTGAATGCCAACAGGATTGACCACTTCTCTTTCTCTTAAGTAATAACTGGTGCCCAATTAATAAGCAACGACATGTTGCTGTAGGTGTTGATATATGCAGACTCTCAATATATGCATGTCTACTGTGTAGAAACTTGTGGATTTTCTTATTTTCTTTTACATATTCCTATGGATATATGCCTGTGATCTGACTTGTTCACTGTGTGTGCCTCAAGCCCCACGGTTACGCTGTGCTTTGTAACCTGGCCCAGCAACTGACCACATGTCCCTTGCTCACATTAAAGTCTCAAATTGCATAATCCAAAGAGCATCAGGGTGACAGCTGCTGGACTGGGCAGAGAGGGCGGTGGTGCTTGGTGAGCCCAGAGCTTCATCTTGGCCACTGCTGCTCCAGGCGGGCGACTCTTGAGGGGTGACCTGTGTCTCGGCGCAATTCACCTCCGTCCTGGTGACCAGGAGATCGGTGGTGGGGTGTCCCTGCACCCCCCTGCAGGGCGCCACACGGAGCTGTCGAAGCCGTCGTGTCAGAGCCATCTTGTAGAAAAACAGCTTCAGATACAGCTGGTTTAATAAGGTAGGAAGATGTGTGCATGGAGAAATGCCTTCATCCTCAGTCGTACTGTATCAGTGGGTATAAACGTGTATTTCGACAAAAAGATTCTTCACACAAATGGAATATAAAGGACCTCCCTGCCCTATTCAGGCACTGAACCTGGCACTGTCAGCCTTGTCCTAAAATTTCAAGGACCCATTAAAAATGTAAGAAAACACTTTCTAAATATGTAACCCAGAGATTTCTTAAGTCTGCTAAGCATACAGTTGTCTGCTGTAATACTATAAAGGGAACCAAAAGCGAAATATACAGAAGGGAATTGCTGAGATTTTCAAAAATAGAACAGAAAACCTAGCTTCTTTTATCAGAAAACAGCAATATAGCTGAACAAATTTATTTGGAGTTGAGATCTGTTTTGAGCCTCTGGAAAGGCTTGATATTGTTGAACTGGCTTTGTTTTTTAATGAAAATATATTTTGATTTAAGAGATCTTTTTTTTTAAGTGCATGTCATTCCATAATTAAAGCAAAACTTCTGAAACATTGCCTAAACTAGGCAATAAGACAGTTGGAGTGTTTTTAACCTTTTTTTTTTAAAAAAAAATCTGATTTAGAACAAGAGATTTTTGGACTCAGTTCTTGGATGAGAAATACACTTCTTGTCTAGTTTTAAATGTGGTATTTAAAAAGATTAATAAAAAATAACACAGCACATTAGTGCTGCTTTGGTTGCGGAAGCTTTCTGGTAAATTTGAATCATATGTAGTCTCTTTTGACACTTGTACAGATGTTCTTCTTCTGCACTTTCAAAATAGAAAAGCTGTAAAAGCCTTAGGTAACTCTATTTCCAGCTGTACTAGAGGTCTGTTTACTCCCACATCCGTTATTGTTGTGTTGCTTTGCAACTAGAAGATTTCAGTGTGTTGTTCAAAAGAGAGTGAGTTTGGGCTGACAACTCGGTGGGAGACAGAAAGGCAGACGGAATACAGAGGAATGCAGTTGTGCATAGCAGGCAGTGTGTACGCAGGGGCATGGGGCTGGTCTCTGTTTTCAGGACTTCCTCGCATGCTACGAATTCTGTTTTGCAATAACAACCACTGTGGTGAATTTCTGCTGGGCTGAGTGTTGTGCCTGAGCTATATTTGTCTCAAAAAGCTAGAGAGACTTCAAAAATAAACCCAAATCTGCCCTGCAGAATAGAAGGCTTTGCTAGGTGGGTCCAAGAGCTCTTACAGTAATAATAATAAATAATAGTAAGAGTTCCCTGCCATGCTTGTTACTGCCAAACTCCAGAGGAGGAAGCCCAAGTACAGCAGGCTGCAGATGAAGTGTGTGTAGTCGCTCCTGTTGTTGTTGTCATCGATCCTGGAATTCATACCATGTTGCACAAGCAGCGTCAGTGTCCAGAAAACTGATCTCTGCTAATTTTGTGACACACCAAGAAAACAATGTCTCTAAGGCTGCATTAGCAATAAGGAGATAGTGAGGATAACGTATAAGCTAGTTCCGATCCTGCATGCAAAGATGGTTACTTTCGAAACACTTTGCTTTAAAACTCTGAATATTTTTCCTGAGAAATTTTTATTTTGCTGCTGTTTGAAGGAAACTCAGAATGACTTTTACAGATGCTTTTAGCATTACCCCGGAGCCCAGTCCTGCAGAAAGAGGTGTCTCCAGGACCAAGGCTTGGGAGCAGTTCGGGCTGGGACAGGCAGGTGGGGGTTGCCCTCACCACACAGAAGATCCCTTCGTAGCGGTGACCAGCTTGCAGGCCTCATGGCCCTCTTGCTGTAGGATGGCCCCACAAACTTTACCCACTCCTAGTCAAGCTGGAAGTATTGTTCATTGTTTTTTAAGCATTTATCTGCCTGCTTAATTTGCTCAGTTCTGGGGGCTTTTGCCTTCTGTCACCTCACATTGAGCTGTGCAAGTTGGTAGTTTTCCAACCATTAAGATTTTCTCTATGGTGGCACTTCCACTGTCAGTCACTTTAACTTCATGTTCCCTATCCCCAACACCCTGCCCTCGAGGGGGAGGGACAAAAGTGGAGAACAAACGCTCCAATTCTACTGACATAGTTCCTGAAGGGGTCACTTGATATTTGGCCTCTTTAACAGTATTGTTGAATACTGTGTTGTCATCTTTCTGTTGGTGACAGCTGGAACTATGGTGCTGTGGCTGATGTTCATGTTTAAATGTGCTCTTTGTTTGAGAGACTGTTCTGCTCATTCGGTGTTTTACCAAAGAATCACTTTACTTTTAGTTTCGTTCATCAAAGGGACTGTGATAAAGAATTGCTTTTGCTATGGTAATCACATATCCTGTTTTTCTTCTTGCAGTTTCGGCAGTCTATGATTCAACGCTCAATTTTAGAAATAATGAGAATCCAACATTACTGGGAGTTCTAAATGGAAAGAAATACCATGCAGATTTATATGTGAGGTAAGCAATGTGCGTTTAATTTCTTTTTGGCATACCAAATTGCAGGACCAGCTGGCCCTACCTGCCTGTGTGGGCCCCTCTGCTAACAGTGTGTGTCATGTGTGCATCTTTCTGCTTTTCATTTTAGCCCTTGCAGCCTGCTCCAAGTCAGTCTAACAGAGAAGGAAAGTTGTTTTTCAGGGCTCTGTGTAACTACTGTCCATTCTGGCCTTTTCAGCTTGCTGTGAAGCTCTTCCACTCAGCATGAACATTGGGCAAAACTTGTTTGGGGCGTTGATATACAAATGTTCCTCAAAATCCTCCATGTCTGCTTATAATGCTATAGGGGTTGCGCATGATAGAAACCTTTAAGGATGGTCTTGTTTGTCTCTGTTTCTATTGCCATGACTTCCAAAGGTTCTCTCCATATTGAACAAAGCAAGACCTAAGGTCACATCTATTTTATTACAGTGCAAGTAGACATATATAAAATATATAAATCTAAATAATCATTAGAAGTTATTGTTGGCATTCCTAAATATAGAGGACAAGGAAAATTCTTCAGAAGAGTCAAGGGGCTCTTTACCCAAATGTCTGTAGAAAAATGTAGTAGAAAAATGTAACGAGTATAGTAGTAAGAAAAAAAAAAGTGATATTCACCATCATTGAATTATTAAATATTTTTGTTATTTCTCTTGTTTACTATTTGCAGGCGGATTCCGTTAGAGGAAGTCCCACAAGATGAGCGGGAATGTTCTAACTGGCTCCACAAACTGTATCAAGAAAAGGTGGTAGTGTTGTTTTTGTTTTGTTTTGCCTGGAAATTACTGAGGAGCCACCAGTGCTCAGTTATTTATACTGGTAGTGGATGTTTGGGGTCTTTGCAGTGTGCATAACGTACACCTGGAAGGTTTGGGGGCTGGGGTGTTCTGAGGTATTTTCGTGTGCTTGGGACAGCTGCTCTGGAACCTCTGCACCTTCTCTGGAAGGGCAACCTCAGAAAGAAAACAGTTCATTTCTCTTTTAGAAAGTTGCATAGGGATTAGTAGAAGGGTGTTCTTTTTTTTTTTTTCTCCTCCCTTCCTCCCTTCAAGGTACATCCTAAATCAAGAAGTAACATTTGAGCTGAATGAGTTATGCCTAGTTTTAATAAATACAACTGTTTTGTCTCATTTTAGCTGGATGGGTTTTATTTAATTATTTTTATGACCAAAGCAAGTAACTAATATTAAGTGGACAGGCTGTTGATTTTCCTTCATGTTGTGTACACAGAGGATATCATGCGTTTAAGATCCCTAATTCCATAGGATAGGGAATTGTGTGCTTGTTCAGTATTGCTTCTTCTTGTGTTTGTTTGCTTTTCTCCTCAAATTTCAAGTGCATTCTTCACATTATCAGAGTATGTTCCTCAAGTTTCTTGTTTTTATGAACATCTTGCACCTTTTTGCAGAAAGACATTATGTTACCTTTTGGCCTGTGTTTTGTGTGCTGGAATATAAATGGTAATAGTCCTTTAGTTGAACAACAATCTGCTTCCTACTGCTATCACTTTGTTTCTAGCCCTGTTTCATGTTCCTAAGATAGTGTTTAGACATTTGCAAGACAAGAACATAAACTGAATGAGTGTGATGATTCTTTTCCTGAATCTCTCATTGAATCCTTTGCATTTTTTCATTTCAAGTTTTCATTATTTTATTTGGCAAACACTCAGTTATTTCTAGTTCAAACAAAGTGTGCATCCATCCTGCTTTCTTCTTTATAACAGCTTAGTTTGCTGGCTGATTAAATTTGTAGCTTCCCTTTTAACTATAGCAGGAAGGAATGTGTTTTCAGTTTTCCTTTAAAAGCTTTTTTTTTTTTTTTTTTTAAATGTTTTTGATATGGCATGTTCCTCCTCTTTTAGCTGTTTGTCAGTGAAATCTTATTTCACGGCAGTTATTTACAAAAGCCCATGTCTCTGTAAAACCAGACTCTTTTGGAGAATACAGATCATTTGTTTATACTGGGAAGCAAGGGAAAACTTGCTAAGAAATTCGAGATAAAGCCCAAAGGGGAGAAAAAAAAAAAAACTCACAATTCTGTTTCACCCTTCTGATGTGATTCTTTAAAACAATCTTTGGCTTTTAGGTTAGATAACAAACAGCATTGCTGCCCAAGTGCTGCTTCCGTAAAATGCAATCTCTTTCAGGTTAATGTCTTCAGAATTGGTAAATACTTATATGATAAAGCATATTAGGACAATCTCCATTCAGAGAGCAGTAATTCCTTGCAGCACACGTGATCCTCAGCTGCTTGGCAGAGTTTCACAATGAAGTTTGGCCCCTGCAACCCTGCTGTCTGTGTGCAGGTGTCCTCAGGGGCCTTTTTCACCTGGGAGCCGCCCAGAGCTAACTCATCCCTGCTCTTTTCCTTGCGAGTCCCTCTGCAGCTCAGGTGCAAAAGGAGGTGGGGGAAGCAGGGACATTCTGCAAGCTTCTGCTCAAACTACTCCAGCACCTGGGAGCCGCCCAGAGCTAACTCATCTCTGCTCTTCCTTGCGAGCTCAGGTGCAAAAGGAGGTGGGGAAAGCAGGGACATTCTGCAAGCTGCCGCTCCAACTACTCCAGCGTAAATGTGGAATGTTTGGCCCTGAAGGTGCTGTGATCCTTCGACCCTGCTTTCCTCAAGGCACGACAGTGTGTGTGTATTACTTTTAGCCTTTCCCCCCTTCTAGTGAGTGCCTCTTAGTGAGGGACTGCATGGAGGCCCTTACATTAATAGCAAAGCTCCTGCCTGCCTCCCTTCTTTACTGAGCAGTGCCGAATGATGCTTTAATAGCAGAATTGAGCAGCAGGCCTGGCGCAGGGGCAGAGCACCAGGCTGCAGAGCTGTGCAGCTGCGAGGGCCGGCGTGCGAGGTCGGAGTGGCCGGTGACGCCGACTGCAGACGTGGGGAGCGCGGCCCTTCCCGACCAGCAGTGCCCCGCGCTCCTGGAAACCACGCGCTCTCCGTGCTCACCCCGGCCTGCATCAGCATCCTGTCCTTACGCTTCTTCCTCGCGAGGGGGGCAAATTTTGTCTTCCTGCAGGTGACCAGCACAGTGTTGGTTAAAGCCCTTGGCTATTCCTTCAAACGCTCTCCTTGCCTCCAGCAGGGACTTCACTAAGGAGCTATTGCCTACTAGTTACAACTTTGTCAGCCCTTGCCTAGATTTTGAGGACTTTTTTTTTTCACCTCCTTACCGCCTCCGCTCCTGGAATAGAAGTGCTGCTCGAAAGTCTGTTTTTCCATTAAAAAGAGAGTAAGTCTCTAACTCTTCTCACTTGCAAGAGAAGTGTGGAAAACATAGCAGGAAGATACATGGCGAATTGCCCCCAGGGAATTAGCAAAGCGCAGCTGAAGAGGGGAAGTCTACAGAACATTAGTGTTGGGGAGCGAGGATGTTTGTGGATGCTCCGTCTGTGTGAACGTCGTGGGAGGGCGGCAGTCGGGCCTCCCTTGGCAGAGCTGAGCTGAGGAACCGCACGAGGCCGGACGACAGGCGTCCCCCGGCTTCCCCCGTCCCTTTGCCACCCCCCTGTCTGGAGTGAATCGGGTTCAGGAGGGGCACTGGCCGAGCATGTTCCCGAGTCTGGGAATAACACTGGAGCGGGTGAGACTTAGCGCAAGCTGAGAAGCTGTGCAGGGATCTGGGGACAGGGATGGGAAGGGTGGTGTTGAGGAGCATCGTGGGGTCAGACCCTGACTTGGGCTGTTCATGAATCCCTCACAAAAGCCCAGATCAACCTGTAAACCCCTTCTGCAGGGAATAGGAGCACTTGTAAGGGCAAGGAATCCTAGCTGAGCTGAGGAGTCATTCCCCACTGCGGTGCCAAGTGTGGAGTGGAGATGCAGGCTGCCGTGGCCTTCGGTCCCCCGTGTCCGACCTCTTGCTGAGACCTCGCTGACCAGTTTGCTGCACCTAATGCCAAGGAAAACCAGCAGAAGGGAAAACAAGCCTGCTTTTAAAAGCATGTCCTGATTTCTGCCTGTAGTCATGGGCCCCCTAATGGTGTTAGCGGTAATAGTCAGAAATCCTTAGTTTTCTCTGGGTGTTACTGGTATTTAGAAGCCTAATCATATATAGGAGAATTCAGTTTAGTAATGATGAGCAGCTCTGTGTTGAACTCCTAACCAAAGTCCTCGTGGCGCTGAAGAGAAAACTTCATACACTGTGAAATTTGTCAAAGAGGGCTAATTAATTGGCCGTAATGATCCCAGTGCAGCCTAACCCACGTGTGCAAGACAGACATAATTTTTCTAATCTCAGTAAAGAGAGTGCTACGCTCTAATTACTGTGTAATCTCTTAAAAGCTGCGTGTTCCCTTTGAATTAGATAAAACGGCAGCAGCCTGTAATTGCCATTAAATAATTAAAGAATTGTCTGTGTCAGCCGGGGTGTAAGTAAATAAGAAATCATAGCAGAGTGGAAATAATCCTGTGCTTGATGAGGACAGCCCTGACTTTGCCAGATTGTGAAGACTCTCTGAAGCATCCTCTTCAAGAGAGAAATTCATCACTTCATTCTGACTGAATTGAGCTTTCCTTTTATGTTGGGCTAATTCCAACTTTACTGATTAGCTATTTTTATGTAGTTAGTACATATTAGTAATCTTTAGGTTTTGAACCGTAGGGTAAAGTTGTTTTTTCCACCAACGTTGTTATCTTGAGCTGATCACGTTGGTAAAGACGATGCCATTCGCTCATGTGGGCCTTAGCCCATGATACCAGTGCTTAGCCTTTTAAGCTCAGCCTTTTAGCAACAGCAAGTCGCCCCTCACTGCATTACCCTGCTCTTACGTTCAAGCAGAGAGCTAAGCTGTTTGCATGCTCAGCTGCCTGTGGAGAGGTTAAACACGCGACTTTCCTTCAGCAGGTGCCTGGTGGGATGAGCAACGCTGTGTCAGTGGAGCAGGAGCAGGAGGGGGCCGTGCTGTGCTGGGCATGGGGCACAATGGTGCCCACTCCCCTCTCTGCCCAGACGTGTGGGGAAGACATTAGGGAGCAGAGGATTTAGTGTTGGAGACGGAGCCCGCGTGCTCTGTGCCGTACCAGTGCTTGGCTCAGCAGCCCCGTGTCCTGCTGAGGTGATGTTTGTCAGCAGTGATGCTTGCTTTGCTGCAGGAAGGCACAGCACGTTCTCTTCCCTGTCCCCGTCCTTCTCGTTTCAGTGAGCTGCCTGCACTTGCTAGGCCTGGCGTTTCAGGCTCCTGTGTGTAGGAGAAAGACAAGACGGGCACATCAGATCTTTCCTGAATACGGGCTTATTATCTTGGAAGCACAAGGTCTTTGCCCTTCCCTCAGGGTTGTAAGTGTGCAGCCAGAGAGCCATCAAAGTCAGGAATGGGTAGCTGTGTTGGCGGATGTGGATTTAATGGTTGCCTTGTCCCTTGTCCTCGCAGGATGCGTTCCAGGAAGAGTACTACAGAACAGGGACCTACCCCGCAGTCCCTATAGTGCCACCGCGACGACCGTGGACGCTGTTGAACTGGCTTTTCTGGGCCTTGTTGCTGCTATACCCTCTATTCAAGCTGCTCATCAACATGGTCAACAGCGGGTCGTCGCTGACACTGGCTACTTTTGGATTCGTCATTGTAATGGGTAAGTTGTTTTCAGATATTAAGATTGTGTGCAGGGGCAGTTGTTCCCCGATTTAATGAGGCCCACTAAATATAATCATAAGCTCTAAATGCAACAAACTAGCAAATATTATATCTTTTTTTAGCCTGGAATGGGCTAACAGCACTTTTAAAATAGCTAAGTTGTTGTTTTGTAACAGCTGCATACTAACCTTTTTGCTTCTGGAGAAATCAAAATGGTTACTTTGCAGCAGTTGCCTCCAAGAGGCTTTCTTCTCCTGTGTAGGGCACAGGAGTGCTACATTGCACTCTTCAGAGATGCTCACGGATAATTCTGTTGAGAATTCTTTCATTTAATCGTAGTGTGATGTGAAACCTATTACCAATACATAAACCTATGATTTAAGGCCAGAAGAGCCTTTTGCAGCCATCCAGGTTGACCCATTTATGTAGCACAGGACAAGGACTGTCACTGGTGTTTCCTGCAGTTCCTGTGGTAGTTCTGAACTGTTGTGGTTTGTGGCCAAAACAGAATGTTGCTTAAAAGGAGGAAGATTAAACAAAAAAAGGAGCAGGCCCACAAAAAGGCAGGGAAGATCTTCATTTAGTGTCGTGTGTGGAAGGAGGAGCGAGGTCAGTTTGGGAGATGGTTGTGCCTGGATGTGTGCCCTCCGTGGTGCACCGAGCGGTGCCTGCAGAGTGGGTCCCGTTCACAGCAAGCTGTTCATTAACAGAGCAGTGTTGTGTCTGGCTGCGCTGCCGCGCGTGTTGGCGGCCCCGTTACCTGAACGTCTGAACAGATTGCAAGCGTTCTTTGCAACAGAAAACCTCACAGTCCTGTCTGTGAGGGAGCTTGGATGCAGAGGTGCTTGGGACAGGTTAAGCACCGTGTCCAGGCTGGCAGTCAGCAGAGCACTGAGCTGTTTCTTGCCTCTGAAGTGTCTCCGGGAGCTTCTTTGCTCTCGTTTCTAACGTGTCACTTCTGTGCATCCCCAGAAAGCCAGAATCTTGGGCAGGTCCCAGCCTAATCCAATCCCAGTCAATTAAATAACCTCCTTTGCCCCTCTGTGAGGGGCTTGACACGGTAGGCAATGCTCTTTCCAAAGGTGCCCACCGAATCAAGCTCAGTCTAAGCTCCTGAGGAAGTTCCTTAAAATGACAAGAATGATGTTTTTGTTTGTTTTTGTTTTCATGGAAGTGATCTGCCTCACCATGCTTTGGGCCAGAGGAGCCCATAAGAGCAAGGATAACTTCTAATCTCGTAGTTCATATGTTCAAATAAGCAGGGAGTGGAAGGAAGGACAATGCTGTACTCCTATCCTCACCTGCAAGACGTGCTGATACTTCATTTCGTGTTGGAAGTGTTTCAGGTGGAATGCATGGGCAGTTGCTGGAGCAGGGAGTACAAGTTACAGCAGCTCTTTCTGTCTGCACGCTGGGACACGTGACAAGTGTCCCCTCGCTCCCCTGGCCCAGGAGCAGGGCTGCATTTGCACCAGGGGGACCTGGGACCTGTGTGTGAGCAGCACGGCCAGGCCGTGCCTGTCACGAACGGGTCGTGTGGATTCAGGTCCCCTTAGGCTGCAGAAAAAGGCCGAGCTGCCTCCAGCCCATTCCCAAAATGGGAAGGGATGGGGTATTTTAACAGTGGTAAACGCTGTTTCCCGGGCTGTCCCACTTGAGAGGGTGTTTGTGCTGCTTTGGGAAGGAACGCCAGCGTGATCCACCCTGGCAGGGTGATCTACCTCTACCTCAGCGACACCGGCTGCGCCGCCCCGCGCTCTGCGCGCTCGTGTTGTGCTGCAGGGGCGCTCACCGCATCGCCCGGGGCTCCGCATTACCCGGGCTCGGGGCCGGGTGCCTAACGCTTGGTGCGGGGGCGTCTGTGCTGGGTCTGGATTTAGCCCAGTGATCCTCGTGCCCCCTGCTCTCCTACCTTTACCAGTGAGGCATGTTTCCTCTGTAACAGGAAAGGAGGGGAAGAACCAGCAAAAACGATGATGCCGCTGAGAGTGGACAACACCAACAACAAACTTGCTTTATTGTCGTCTTACTCCTTGCTTAAATTTTTTTCCAGTTGTGAGGCCCTGGCGGCGCGCGTTGCTGCCCCACATGT